TTTTATATTCAATAATATTCATATAATAAACCTTTAAAGAATAAATATAAAATTAGTGCATATAAAATTTTGTAATTTAATTAAAAATAGACATTTCCGCAAAAAATGAATGACAAAAAAAAAGTTATAAGAATCTAATGTTCATAAAGGAAAATGAAAGAGATAAACAATAAGACAGATAAAAAAAATTAGAAACAAATATATTCAATAGAAAAAATATATAAATTTTAGTCAAAACTCTAATGTTCGTATAAAGGAAAAGGAAAAAGAAATATCGAAAAAAAAATTAATTTCTTTTTTTGTGAAAGTCTTCCAAAATCTTATGATTAATGAGAAACAAATTTTGAGATTTTATTTTAGTACTTCCTTTTTAAAATTTAGTACCTTGGAGATTTTAATAAAAGTTTCTGAAAATTATTAAAATTTGAGTACTCAAGACTTACAAAGTCTTCTAAAAAAAATTAATTGAATATATCATGAGTTTTAGTAACTTTTTAAAAATATATAAAAGTTTTAATTGAATATTCCAATAATATAAGATAGTCTTAAAAAGTTTACATTGAATACCCCTAAATATTTTAAATTAAAAAAAGTCATTAAAAGTCTCAATTAAAAACCCCCTTTAATTTTCCTCCCTGCTCCCCACCTCGTTTGTCTTTTTTTTCCGTTTCCGTTTCCATTTCTCATATCTCTCTCTCTTTCTAACTTCTCTTCTTGTTCCCCCTTTCCATCTCTCAATTTGTTTCTTTATTTTTCTTCTTTCTCTAATTTAACTTTTACAATGTGTTGATCTCATTTTCTGTTAGGGTGATGCGGACAATAGATATCGGGCCCACTTGTATACACGAGAGCAAACTCCTACACGTATGAACATGTTGCTAGTTGACAATACTCCGAGTTTGGATGTGGGAGAAGCTTTATAACATGAGACGAATATGTTTGGGCTCCAACAATGTATACTGGGAATGATTGTATAATAATTACCAATCACAAACAACTCAAAAAAAGCAAAATAATTTAAACTCCAACAAACAAGATTGTGGTATAAGCAAGAGAGAAGATAAAGATAGCTTTTAGTATTTAGAGTTGCATTATTCTTCAAATGATACATGGAGGGGATATTTATAGTGTTACAAATGAAATGATGTCCATTGGATGAAGATACACAAGGTCTTATATCTTAAACCCAAGCATACAATCCTAGGCATCAGTTTGTACTTCCTAACCTATGGTGCATTTAGTGCTCTTACAAAGAGTAGTTACCCCATTGCCCAACTAACAAGACTTGATATTTTACTCATCACAAAAGTCCTATCAAT